TAAAATACTAGAAATGTGGAATGATTCGAGTATCATTATGAATCACAAAAAAAAAACAGTAGTGCTCTTTATCACTGATAGAAAATGTTACATGCTTACGTTTAGCTAGTTTGCATACATAACAATGAAATTTCCGTTATTGAGTCTTTAAATAAAGAGGGAAACATAATTTTGAAGATAAAAAAGGAGTATTTAAACAGATTTGCAAGATAAATGTTCCATCAAGAATGGCGTTCTTTACATGGGAAGCTTGTAAGGGTAGCATTTTGACAATTGACATGCTGATGAGAAGGGGATGGTGTATGGTACACCGTTGTTTTATGTGCAAATCAAGTGCAGAATCATGTAACCACCTTTTATTATGGTGCCCAATGGTGTATAGTTTATGGACCATGATATACGGGCTGTTGGGGATTCAGTGGGTAATAGCAGGATCTGTGAAAGAAGAACTATGGGCTTGGGAGGGGCGGTGCAAAAAGAAGAAACACTTATCTCTAATTCCTAATTCTATTTTTTGGGTGGTGTGGAAGAAAATGAACCCAAGAGCTTTTGAGAGGATTGAAAAAAGTTTTGTTACATTAGGGATAGATGGTTTCATGCTTTTGGGCTAATTCCTGGGTCGTGACATCAAAAGCTTAGAAGATTTTTGGGAATGTCATTGATCACCTAATTGAAATGTAAATGCAATGTACATGGGTGTTTATATATACTACACTTTTATTTAGAAAACAAAAGGAGTATTCAAGTCTTTTACCGTGGTGCCCGATCTTGTCCTTATTGGCAGTAGATAAAGAAGAGATAACTTAGGTACATCCAGTATATAATCCGTTCCTTACCTTAGCATGTCCAATCATCTTTCTTTAGTTTTTGATCCTGAAAGTCACAATGAAAGGGAAAAATATTATTTACAATTCAAATAATGAGATAACTTAGTTATTGATACAAGATTAGTGTATTGGGACATGGAGCACATTTTCAAGGGTAAATTTGGAACCAATCCTGATATTACCCACTCCTGCTATGGTGATTAACGAACTATTAGCGATGACTATTTTCCTACTACTTGGATATGGAACATATGTACTAAAGTAATAAGGAAAAGTTGTAATATGGTAAGTGGCTCATGAATCTATATTTCATAAATGTTTAAAAAGTCTATCTAAGGCATTTAAACCATGTGAAATAGAAAATTAACTGAGGGTGCTAATAAATAGGTACCTGTGGGATGTTTTCAAAGACCTAAGTCGAGCATATAACCTTCTACATTTTTTTTTTTGAAACAAACAAACATATAACCTTCTATTTTGAACTCGTAATCTGGAGCCTTCTTGTTCACTTGTTGAATTGTCAAGTAAACCTGCCCCTGGAGGCACTAGAGTTATTTTTATATCCCTATTCTTTGCTGGAGGTGGGAGGTTTTCCCTGGAATTTCCAACATTTTCTTTTGGTGTGCCTTAGTTTCTTGCAGAAGGTACACCATAAGCTGTCTCGATTTTCTATACCTATCTTGGTTGTGTTAAATTCACTTTGCTCCTTTTCTTGTTTGTGAGTTTGTGGGCATTGGCTAGCATAACAGAGCTAATTGGAGTGGGATTCCAGCATTATTCCCCTCCTTTCTTTTACCATAATAATAGAGATTACTTCGTTCAAGGAGGGTGCTCCTTTTTTTCTCAGTATCTGAACCATCACTCGATCAAACTCCACACTTGGATCTGCCAAAAGTTCATAAACCCTGGGAACAAAGGCTTTTAAGGAAGCATCGTTTGCACTGCATTGCATATTGAGACGATTTTAATGGTCTAGCTCTTGTTACCAACTTTTCGGGAGATTGGCATATTCTGTGATGGATCTACTTGTTTTGTGGAGGTGGTCTTGATCTTAGTTCATAAATTTGAACTGCATGATAAAATTTGGAGTGTGTTTGTCTCACCACCTCCCAAATGTCTTTTACAGTTGGCAAGAGAATGCTGGTGTCTCACTGAAGATGCATACTCCTATGCTTCCAAGCGGTGTCCGGTCTTCGCATCAATTTGGCTAAATCGGAGATGGTTGGTTTGGACCCTAACACTGATACAATGGCACTAGCCCGGATATTAAACTGCAAAGTGTCACAGCTCCCTATTAAATACCTTGGTGTCCCGCTCGGTGCTAATTACAAAGACAGGGTGTCATGAGGTCCGGTCATCAATATTTTCGAGAAAAAACTTGCAATATGGAAGAGGAAATTCCTCTCCAAAGGTGGGAGACTCACCCTCATAAAAAGCACACTTGTCAACCTCCCAACATACTACCTCTCTGTCCTCACTGTTCCGGCCAACATTGCCAACAAATTAGAAAAAATTCAACGCAATTTTCTGGGGAGCACAGAGGAAAATAGAAGGAAATTCCACCTTGTAAAATGGGAGGACATAAAACTGCCCAAAAATCAAGGGGGTCTTGGCCTTAGATCGCTTATCACTATGAATAAAGCCCTACATGGCAAATGGATTTGGAGATTCTGGAATGAAGGTGACAACTTGTGGAAAAAAACTGCGAATGGAACATTAGTGGAAACCATCCACATCATAGAGGGAACTATACTGCTCATGGAAAAAGCTTATGGAGAGGCATCTCTTCCATTAACAAACTGGTACTGGATTGCTCTTCTTGGGCTGTTGGCATAGGGAATAAGTGCAA